AACAATTGAGAACACCAGAATGATTTGAAAAAGCCACGTGGTCTATTGGTGTTCTTAGCACTCCTTGAGTTACCTGCAGTTGTAGCAGTCAGTGAGGCTGGAAGGACCCAGAGTCTGGCTCTGGTCTTCCGCCCTTTCCAGGAACTGAAAGTATGACTGCTGCTCCCTCACACCCTGAAGTTTCAGATTAAGATATCACCTCCTGAACGATGACTAAGGAGGAGCATGGGATCTTGCATACCCATGGGCCTCCAGCAAGTTTTCATTTGGGAGGCTGGCACAACAGGGACCAGCTGGCCGCAAATGCATCCTTGTTCCTTTTGCTTGCTCACAGTTCCTGATGGACTCAAATTCAATTTCAACCAGTAGGACTCCGTTTTCAGATTGGAGAAATCGCTAGAAAGACATTTGCTCCCCTGCACAGAGTTCTGTTATGCCAGGTTCCTCCTGCACACACAGCCAGCCTCTCTGCCTGCATTGTACTCATCCAAGATGAGTACTCCTGAAAGTGAGCTCCTCAAAGCGTATTTATGACAGTAAGGCCAGAGAAAACAAAACAAAACAAAACAAACAAACAAAAAAAGCAAACGTCTGTCTTATGTACAGAATTAGCATGTCCTAATTAGAGTTAATAAAAGAAAGTTTCAATACATGTCCCCTAATGGCAACAGCTGTAAAATGTGTAACCAATGTACTAAATGCTTTAGCAATTGCACTCTCCCATTTGATCAGTATAAGGAAGTAAAAAGGCAGTGTAAGGTGTGCTATCATACATGGCATTAGAACATTGCATTCCTGCAGCTATGCTTGCTCTCTTTTTATTTCTTTCTCAATTGTTTTCCTATGTTGGATGACATCTTATGTTAAATTCTTCTATATTGTCCACACATTTGAACACCCAGATCTCACATTACTACAGTGTGAGATAAGCTAGATAAGCTATTGCTGACAAGTGCTGATTCTTACTGAGCTGTGAAGGGTATGGACCATATCCACTTCAATCTCTCTGAACTTTCAGTTGGATTTCATTGAACTGAAAAGACTCTCTCTCTGGAAGACTGTATATTTTATTTTTAGTTCTTTCTTTTTTTTTTTTTTTTCACAGTAATTTAAGGCAAGTCAGAACAAGTTTTCAAGGAGCCGGGAACCTGTGACAGCCACGAGGGAGAAATATTAAAGTAATTCCATGTGGTGTCCTATGTCTGCTAAAAAAGGAAAGACTGAGAATAAACATAATTAGAGATAAGTGATTGACATCCTTCTCTACGTGCATCGTTTTTAGCCATCTGCTCTCTCTGCTCCAGGCCTCAACCCCACACGTGTTAAATAGTGAGCAAAGAGCCTACATGCGCATCTGAAGTTTAAGGATACCTTTACACAGTCTACTTTTCCATTTCTTAAATTGTACGCCTTGTAGAGAAGGTGACCAGAAAGTGCACCTTTACCAACTCACTACTGTAAGTACTTCTTATTCTTTCAGTATTCCTAGCAATTACAGAGAAGCTGTTATCCTTTAGGAGAAGATGAGGAGCTGAGAAACAGAGTTAAATGACTTGCTCTGGGCCATACAGGGACTCTGTGATAAACTACAATGTAATACTGTTAAATAACTCTCTAGAGAAATACACTTTCCTCTGAATCTGAACTCCCAGTTTAAACTAATGTACACCACTGTCAGGCACCATGTTACAATATAGATGATAGTTAAATGATAGATTGAAAGCCAGTCTCAAAGTAAAACAGTTTCACATTCTCCTTATTTCTTCCTTGTTAATACATCGTGATTCACATATATCCTATGAGTAACTTGCTATGAAAAACAAAACTTTCCATATTAGATCAGGCAATGCCATAATAAAAATGGTATACTGTGCTTCTCATTTTATTTTGCAGATAAACAAGAGTATTTTAATTACCATGATCTGACATGCTATCTCTAGAACAGAAAGTACAATACTGGAAGATATAATAGATTTTCAGCAAAGGGAATGTTTATTTTAGGCATTAAATGAAATAGCATTGCAACAAAAAATACTGCCTTATTTTTAAAAGAATCTTTCTTGAAGGAATAATTGTAAAAATGGAGTTCAGATTTTATTGCTTCTGTCAAAATATTAAAAGCTATATTAAATTAAATTTTGGTAAATATGAAGCTTGTGGCACAAACAAGAAATAACTTTCATTATTCAGGGTAACTTGGGTGTGCTTTATTTCTTAGATTTTATAATTCAAAGTTAATTCTGGCTGGAAGTTAAATAAGTAGAAGGTTTGCTGTGTCGAGGTGCTCTAAAAATCAGTTATTTTCACAAAGATCACTTTTTACTTACTGATAGATCAAGGCAAAATATCTGCTGTGGTCAACACGACAAGCAAATTGGAGGAGTCGGTGGCAAATAAATAAGTGGAAAAGTGTTTGAGAGGTTGAAGATTTTAAGAAAGGAGATCAGAGAGATGGCACCAAAACTCAAGGAGGGTATAAAAGAAAGTCTCTACTCATTCAAGAAGAAAATCAGAACAGAAGAAAAATAATCATTTTTGGTATCTCAGTAGGGAGCACAGATCAGCTGCTACGCTGAGAGGAAAAACAATTCTTGAGCCTGCAGAAACTAGAGACATAACAGTAACGTAGCATCTTCCTGATGAAAAATAGGTGAGGTGTGGATGTCCTTAACAATATAAACTGAGGTCCCTGTAAAGGTCACAGCCTAGAAACTGTGGCAACAAAAGAGATTCAATGAGGCCTTGTCTGAGTTTCAGCTAGTTACCCAACAGATATTTTTGCCCATATGAGTCATCAGAAATATTTGCTTGCAAAAACTGCAAGCAGGAGAGCTGTGGTAACCAAGAGTGCATCCTCCACCCTGGCAGTTGGACCTCCTTCCAGCTGCAGGACTGTCATAGTTTTATGATTTTGGTTATCAGCATTCCATATCACAACATCATGTAGTGCACTGGGATTTAAAGAGTTAATGCTCCAGGTCCAGGCACCTGTTCAGAAGAGAAGAACTACATACCCCAGAACACTTTGCGTTCAGAGAGGAGATATAACCCTTGGCAATGTCACAAGACCTCCCCTTTTTCCTTCGGCTCCCTTCCCTGCTGCTCATCCCGACCACATGTATTGCTTCAGCATTAGTGTAAGGCCTACATTTTTTCAGATACTTTCTCATTATATTTGATTTATTATCTTCAATTCTAATTATATTGTATTATAGTGTGTTATCTTGCATTCTGATACCATATTTAGTAAATTAATTTGTTTCTCCTCAGATCGTTGCCGCTGTTTTTAATTATTTGAGGTCCCCTGTTTCCCCTTTCCGGAGGTGCGGATTTGCGAATCCCTCCACCCCACTAGTCACAGAACGAGGCCAAAGCAGCCCACAAACCATTGACAAGGGCAGGCATTGGAGGGAGCAGCATTAATCAGCACTTCGGCTAGAAGATGGGGACCAGGAATTTGGGATACATAGATTCAGTTGGGAACACTACAGAGGAGTATCTGTATTTTAACCAGAGGGATCTTTCTTACTAAATTTATCTTGTACATTCAGTGTTTAAATAAAGCAAGGAGGGAATTATGCTGCATGAATAGCCACCTGACAGCCTTCCAGATACAATATAAACAGTCATGAGAGGTTATTGGGGAAATATCTGAACTGACTTCATCAGCACACATAGAATTTTGCTACACAGAGGTCACAGAGCACATACTTAAGATAAACAGTCATAAACACAAGGTGAAATATCAAAAATTGGACTTCAAGGAAAGAGTACAACATTTCCCAAGACAGGAAATTGCAGGAGAAAAATCAAATAAAATAGATTTTACAGAGAGAAATATACCATATATCACAATATATTTTTATATGACAGGCTTCAGCAGCTCCCAAAAACTGGGTCACAACCTCAGTGTCTGCTTGCTGAAGCTATTGCATTATTATCAACTGAGATCCCTTTTGCATTAGTGTTGCACTAATACCACCAAACAGATTGTAATACATCATAATGTTGGAATTAACTAGTGTTTTCTGATAAGAAGCAAGTCACCTTCTATTATCAAGCATCAAATCATCTTAGTATTTTGCTGATATATTCTGCTCTGGTACAATCTGCCAAAGAAAATAGTTTGCCCAGCTACAGAGCGATCGGAAAATGTGACTGAATAAGATGAAGATAAAAATGGATACAGAAATTAGCCCTGAAGTATCATAGATTTCCCAAGGCCTTACTGAGAACTCAGAGTCAGTTGCATTTGGCTTTGAGAAAATGTAAATGCTCAAGTCCAAGTTTATTCTCAGAAAATGGTAGATCCCATCCAAGGAGCTTAAATAACAGCATAAGTATTTAAAGCAAGAACAAATATTATTTATTTGTCAGCCACACTTCACTTATCAGTGGAAGAACAGGTATGGTAAATATATAGTATATTTTTATTATAGTATAAATTTGTAACATCGATATTAAGCATGAACCAAATATTTCATTTTAGCATTTGGGTCATGAATGCCAGGGTTTGTCTACCTCAGAGATTAAACATTTATTTATTGATTTATCTGTTTCTGATGGTGGGTTAAGTGAGACAGTATGAATTTGGCTTGCATGTTTTCCAGGAGAGTTATGGTACATGTTTTAAGCACCCATTTGATGCACAAACAAAGGCTGATGCCATGCAACATGATGCTAGTGAGGGAGCACGATTTTATTGTGGACTAAGGTTTCCCACTACACAGCTCTCTATATTTTTATGGCACATGCAACATTAGATTCTTAGCAGTCTGTTTCTTATTTGGTGTTGGTCTCTTCTCACTGGTGACAGGTGACAGGATGAGGGGAAATGGCCTTAAGTTGCACCAGGGTAAGTTTAGGTTGGATATCGGGAAACACTTCTTTACAGAAAGGGTTGTTAAGCACTGGAATAGGCTCCCCAGGGAGATAGTTGAGTTGCTATGCCTGAATGTGTTTAAAAATTGTTTGGATGTGGTGCTCAGGGACATGATTTAGCAGAGGGCTGTTAGGGTTAAGGGTAGTTTGGTTAGGTTGTGGTTGGACTCAATGATCATTAAGGTTTTTTTCCAACATGAGCAATTTTATAATTCTATTTTATATCACTGATAGTTGTTGAATCTGTTCATTACTTATCAGTTATCAAAATATAGTTACACTAACCTTTTCATCATTATATCTCTATTTGTTAATTTTTGGGAGAATGTCCCAATGGCAGTGGATAATACTGAAAAGGACTGTTGAGTGTGCATTTAGTGGCTGTAGTTGACAGAAACAGTAAGAAAATTCCTCAGTGTGTAAGAACAATTTTGAAGCTGAAGATGTGAAAAATGATCTCTAGAAAAGGTATGCTTTGGTAGATAAGGGCAGCAAAACCTGTTTTATACCATTTATTGTATTATTAAGTCAGAGAAGATGTTTTTTAAGCTCCTTCTCATTGCATGTTTTCTGAAATTCTACTGTAATATTGTACTAAAGACAGTATATCCTATATAACAAGTTCTTCTAAAGCTACCTAGACATTCTCCTTGTTCTGAGAAGGAAAACAAGGAAGTTTATCCAGAATGTACCTCTGACAGGCCGTTTTCTGAGTCATAGTCACAGTAGCAAAACTGAAAGAAGGATGAGCAACACAGCTGTAGCCATGGCTTCCAGACAAGATTGTTCCAGGACAGCTGGTCAGAGACAACTTGAAGCGATCTGGTGTGGTTATCTACTGCTCGCTGTATGACACTGAGAATTTCATAGAACCGGCTCTCTGTTTCTGGGGTCAGTGGGACTTTCTCTTCAGGGTCCCTGGAGAGATCGAAGAGCAGTGGGGGATCATGGTGTGTGATGAAACCTCCATAGCAAAAGCAAACATGAGAGTCATAGCAACCATTGGAATCCTCAGGAGTGAAGTTTGGAGTGAAGAAAAAGACTTTCCAGACGGATTCACCTGCAGTTTCCAAATACAAAACAATCAATGATAAAAAGACCAACTGAAAATCCTTTCAACTTAGAAACTCTAATTTACACCACAATAAATCAAACTCTCTATACAACATTTGACAAAGAAGAACTGCAACATACTGAAAAAGCAAAACATGGTGATTTTCTTGCTACACAAATTTATGAAACAATGATGATCACTTCAGTCCCTTAGAAGAATTTAACTAAATTACAGAAGACTTAAAAGAGCTTCATGTTTTTAAGTAAACAATGCTAAGAAATGCTAAATATTTTCAAAGATATTACACTGTCTTCCTCAAGATATATTAAAATGTACTTTTGCCATTTGACCGTATCCAGACACCACTGAACTATGAATGATTCTCATTTCACTGATTTAATAATAAAAAAAAAAATCGTTTTTTAATCTTTTTCTCCTTTAATCTCCTTGTGGTATTAACCCATGACACTGCCACATGCTTACTTTGCAAACATGTTGAGGCAGACGTTCCCATTTTATTAAATGTGATGACAGGAACTGCTGTAACAGATCCTGTTTCAGGCTTCAAGATGCTTTTTCAAAAATACATAACTATTACAGTAGTTCAATTTTTAGGTGAGACATTGCTTTGTAAACTGGCAACCAAATATCTTTCAGATAGGGAATTTTGACTTTGCTGTACAGACACTGAACTGCCTGCACTAGAATAACTTCATTCAGTGTTTTCACTGTTCAAGATAAGAATTAATTCCTGTACTAAGAACAAGCAAATATTAGTCATTTCCTTCAAGAAATGATCTTGAACAGAAGACTGGAGAACCTAAAAATACTTAACAGGGAAGGAATAAACAAGAAATGGCTATTATTCTCCTCAAGCATCACAAAATATATCATGCAGACAGGAACGGACAGGCATTTTAATGGAAGTGCACAATCCTCTCGAGCTGGGGAAGAATGCACCAGAAATAAACCAGGGAATAATTAGAGTCAAAATCTGCTTTTCATTCTTAATAAAAGTACGATAGTAAACAGCTTAGACCTATGATGCCTGACTACCTATCCATCAGAGCATATACAGACACCTGAAATACACAGTCATTAGTTATTTACTTTCCTTAATGCCCTATCGCTGAAACTTTCTTCAAAGAACCACTCAGAAACATAGATTGTTATGGACTGGAAGGGACCTCTGGGAATAACTGAGTCCAAACCCTGCTAAAGTGGATTCCCTACATAGGAAAACATCCAAGAGGGTTTTGTATCACTTCTTTTATATTAAATACCAGGGGGAAAGCTCTGTAGTATTTTGCTGAATTTTTTTAAGTCCACAGAAATTTTGTTACTTTTGTAACTTGTTAAATATTTATATGTGCAATGGTGGTTAATATTCATTAATCAAGTCACTCGTTCACTAGAATAGAAAGCACTTGAAGGTGTGTGAAGGGCAGAAATGAACCAGTACATCACATGCAGTAACTACATCACACTGAATGTTTAAAGAAAGGTTTAAAGGCATAAATGTTTCAGTGGATTAGAGAGTCACAGACTGTGGTTCCAGTTCATAACATGAATTTAAAAGAAAATAAGTGACCTGAAGATTCTTTACAGCTTCTTCTATCCTGCAGCATTTTTTGCGTTGTAAGGGAATTTACCTTAAGGAACCAATTCAATGATAGAACGTGGAGACTACCAGTTCATTTAGTCTGCACTTAAATCAGGGTCAGAGGGTGATGGTCATATGCATTAGTCTAGGAGTATCCTCTGAATGCTGCTTGAGAATCAGTACAAGGGAAGCAGCTCTAAAAGCAAAGAGCACCTTGCTGGCACAGACAATAAGGTGTGGCAGGCTTTAATAGGTACTGAAGGCTCTGTCTGTAACAGCAGCAATGGCTCAATCATACTGGGGGGCAGGGACAGGACATGACTGGACAGGATGGGAGCATTTCTCCATCTCCTTTTCCAATAATATTTTGGAAGATTGATTTAGTATTTGAATTTTTTGTTGTTTCCTCACGATTAAAATTAATAATAATCCCAGAATTAAAAAATTGCAGGGGTTGGAAGGGACCTCAAGAGATCATTGAGCCCAACCCTCCTGCTAAAGAAGGTACCCTACAACAGGTCACACAGGCAGTCCTCCAGGTGGGTCTAAGTATCACCATAGAAGGAGTCTCTACAACCTCTCTGGATAACCTGTTCTAGCACTGTTCCAGTGTTCCATCACCCTTACTGTAAAGAAGTTCTGCATATTAGTAGGAAACTTCCTACATTCAAGTTTTAGGTCATTATTCTGTGTCCTATCACTCCGCACCACTGAAAAGAGCCTGGCCTCATTCATTTGCCTCCCACCTTCCCTTAGATGTATATAAACATTAATCAGATCCCCCTTCAGTTTTGTTTTCCTCAGACTGGACAGACCCAGGCTACTCAGTCTTTCCTTTCTTCTCCGTATGGGAGATGCTCCAGGCCCTTAATTGTCTTTGTGGCCCTTTGATGGACTGCTTGTAGGAGATTCTTGTCTTTTTTAATGCAAGGATCCCAGAACTGGACACAGTATTCTAAACGTGGCCTTACTGGGGCAGAGTAAGGGGGAGAATCACCTCCCTTGACCTGCTGGTCACACTCTTTTTAATGCACTGCAGGATATCATTGGCTTTCTTGGCCACAAGGGCACACTGCTCATGGGGAACCTGTTGTCCAGAGCTCATTTCTTGCTCAGAGACATGATTTAGCAGAGGGTTGTTAGAGTTAGGGTAGTATGGTTAGGTTATGGTTGGACTCAATGATCTTTACGGTCTTTTCCAACCTGAGCAATTCTATGATTCAATGACTTTATGATCAACAGCAGGTCACCCCCTATCCTGAACTGATGCATGCCATTATTTCTCCCCAGGTGCAAGACTCTATCCTTAATCTTGTTAAACCTCATCAGGTTCCTCACTGCTCAAGTCTCCAGTCTGCCCAGGTCAACAATCTAACAGTCCCCCTCAGACATCTTTGAACTTATGCACAGAACATTGCCCAGAGCAGAAATACGCTCTCATTTATTGAGATTTAAAATATATATTCTGGGAACCTATGTGATTCTATACTAAGCATTTCTTCTGGCTCTTTAAAAGTGTTTGAGTGTCAGGATGGACAATGAAGAACAGAAATGTCCAAAATCACTATTAATCAGCTTCTGTAGACCAAGCAATATTTACTCCATTTGAGAATTTAATTCAGAGCACTGTAACACCTTGACAGAAAGGCAGAAAAAATGCACATGAGAGCTCTGTGGTCAGGATGTTTTACCATACCCCTATCTTTGATAGAACACTTCCACTGAATTACTTTGAAAATGAATTTTCCATCAACTCTTATGTTGTTGGACACTGTATCACCAGGCCATTTAAAGGGCTGACTCACAGCAATATAAATTTAAGGATTCCTGAATTATTGTAAAACATAACATTAGGATAATATAAGTAAGTTCAAAGACAAGGGAAAAAAAAACAGAAACATGCAAGTTGTACTATGATATTTTTTCCCTTACAGAATAAATATTCTTCATATTTTATTTCACATAATCTTCATTATTTATTTCATAACTTCAATAGCTTGCCTATATCTAGAGCATCTGTCACGTTGCAAAATATGTGTGATTGGAGACAGACACATGACATCAGATCATGTCTGAATTACATTGCTAGTTTTTTTTGAAGAGCTGATGGTTGTCAGCCATGCTGCTACTTACACTGTGCAAAACACAGCCTTGGCAGAGCAAGTACAATTGTACAATAGAACAATGATCATTTACTGCACTGCAGTGTTTCAAAGGACCTGGAACTTCATGAGGTGCTGGAAAAACACCAGTGCAGAGTTTAACTACCCACTGCCTAAGCATTATAAAAGTACAGCACACCTGTCAGTGTCTGTGTCTGTAGAGAAGCCAGTGTAATATACTAGGAGACATAAAGAGGTGATGGATTTCTAATCTGTAAAGCTGATGAGCTGTATAAGGATCTTAACAATGGAGACTTCTCACTCAGTTTCTCTCAGCTGATATAGAATCTCATTTTGTCAGAGGGCTAGCTGCAAGGATCAAATTAATCTCTCAATAATTAACAATACTTTTGTTCTTCAAACCATCTGAACTTTCTTATTTAAAGACAACTATAACTCTGTTCTTCACTGAGCCTAGCTGTAAAATTGTCAGGGTTCCCTCACAGTCAGTATATAGAGTCCTTCCAAAACACAGAAGGCAAGCTAGATGTCTGTAGTTCCTTGGAGATCCTTTCACAGAGCATCACAGCTTCTTTATTCAGCATCCATTTTTCTGCTGAGTTAATTGCACAAGGGTTTCACTTGCTCAGTCCTCAGAATACCACTTTCCTTTGCATATATAAAAAAGCAAAAGTCACAGAAGTTGTACATACAAATAGTCTCAAGTTAAAATAGGTTGCAATTAGTTTGCACAAATCTGCTATGAACATAACTGCTAAGAATTTGATCTCCTTAACAGCCTCCTCTTCAGTTTTATTATCCTTCATCTATTTATTCTCTCATAATCACACAGACAATCAAAACTTCAATAGACAGGTAAAGGCCAGAAGGGTAAATAAAAGTATCTCAGTAAAATATATTAATATTTCCAAGATGACATGACACAAAGGATATGGATGTTATTTCTGTAATACTAGATCTGTGCATAATTATTGATGGCTATGTCCTATTCTCTGATAAAGACTTGAAATGAACAAGAGCTATTTCTGTGTTATTGCCTGGATCTTATTTTTACTGTTTTTTCATCTATGATAGGTAGATCTGGGCTTTCCTTTGTTCATATTATTTTGTTTCTTCTTTTGGTAGAAGAACAAGTTAACAAGTCTATTCTTCATTGCAAATTGATGAGCTGGTCTCTCCTTGACTTAAGACTCACTTGAGCATAACCCTTTGGGCATAGCAGTACATAGAAATGCAAATTGCATGCAGTCTTTTCCTGTATTTTACGTGAGCTCTGTAGC